TTTTTCAAGCCTCTAGGCTGCAGTTAAGGAATGTACAAAGAGCGAAACTTCGCGATCTTGGGACATGAAGAAAATTGAAAATGCTAGGATTTTGGGCTTTTTGGAGAAAATGCATCCTCCGACTAATAATGTACAGATTGACAAAGTAAACATAAAATAAAATATAACCTCGTTCATTCCTCTCCGGTCTGAAAACCCATGAAAAGGCTATGCTTTAGCAGCCCCTTAAAAGCGAAATTGCTTGAAAGTTGCAATTTAGTGCCACGCCTCTTTCTCACCATCAACAAACAGCTCAATCGAAGATGCAAAGTGTTGATTTTAAAGATTTATTAACGAATCTGTGAAAGGCTACATGAATCATAGCTATTTTTTGAATCAAAGTTACAAGATGAGCACTTTAGTGCTGAGCCCCCTTCTTCTTTTACTTCTTTAGAAAGGGTTTACAAATGAGCTCCAAACCACCACTGAGTGGTCGAATCAGGTCCCTCGTTGCAGCGGAACTTTGGGTTGATGGTACCGTAATAACCAAAGTTGTCCTCGCTTGATACTGCGCCAGATCTTGGGTCAAACTGGCAGCCGGAACTACTGCTGTCAATGTGCCAAAACACAGAGGTACTCTGCCAGACACGTGCCGTCAGATGCATGCGCATGTGCCCGCGGATGTTCACGTATTCCACCTTCATGCACTTGCCAGACCCGGTAAAATCAACGACGTTGAAGTCCTTGAAGTTGCCACGGACGTAATCTCTGAAATCGACACCATAGGTTGGGTAGCTGCAAGTNGATTTCACCCTTTAGACTTCGCAGCTTTTCAGTCTCTTTATTGTAAGAAGAATCATTAACCCACCGACATCAAAATAGCGGCGCTATTTTGTTTCCGCAATTCTTGAAAGATGTGGTCGTAGAGATCACTTACCAGCAGGATTCCACTTAGGGCCACGATTATCTTGAACGCCATAGTAGTGAGTTATTTTAGTCGGGAAGTATTGTTTCAAGAAAGAAACTCCTCGTTCGTTGGGGCAGAGTAATCTCTTCAACAAGCTCCTCGACTTTCCTTAGGGAATGTATACGTGTACAAAAGGAGTAAACAAATGTAAAACACGAAACCGTCCCACGGACAACACGTTTCGTAAATGACTGAAAGGGCACACAAAAAGATCTATCAGTCAAAATCGTCACCGCTATAGACAACATGACATTTTTATCGTTTTATTTCTAAATCAACGAAGACAATTTTAAAACGTAGAAGGATGCATAGCGCACGTCTCTACGTTCTTACTTATTTCATAATATTTTATGACAAGAACCTGGTTCGAAAAATGAGGAGGTGGTGTGCGCGGCCTTAGAAAGAGCTCATTATCTGCTGCAAAGACAGCACACTTCATTTAATTGGAAGGCTTATTTCTCGTTAGCTTGTTGCCACAGCCATAATCAACCGATCATTTAAAGTGTCAGAAGAATCGGTGGTGTACGATGCACCCTCCTAGTTTTTTACTTGAGAAATTGTTAACTTCGACCAGGTTGATTTCGAGAATGTGGAGTTAACTTGAGTTTTTTGCCGTAGTAATGGAATGACCTTGGTCACTTGGTAACAGAGATAATGGACCCAGGGAACATCATGTCACAATATTACTTCACGCAACTCTTGCGGTGTGAACGTGTCATTAGTTAAACAAACATGAATGAAGGAATACAGC